AGGTTCTTCACAGAGGCAGTGGTCTCAGGAAAGTAAGTCATGAAATTCGGATCTGCAAAGCCAACAGCATGCAGAACCTTCAAAACTGCGTGGCCCGAGTCTTCCTTGCTGCCAACAACTTGGAAACCGATTTGGAAGAAGACATTTAACAAGCAAACGGTTCGGTAACACAAATTTACGAAGCCAGTAAGCGCTCACATGGTGGTTCGCAGTTGTGTATGAGGCTACTAAAATGCTTTGTACGCGCATAGTACCATGTAGAGCATCGCTCTGCGTCTCATCAGTATCTCGGATCAAGCTTCAGTGGCGTCGACTTCCGGTACATCTGAAATAGCTTGATTACAATTGGTAATGACATTGCTGGGTTGAAATAGAAAAATATTTCGACTCCGGAAGCCTGTATGATGCGAAGAATTATCAAGTAGGCGAAACTCAGAGAAGTAGGTACACTCTAAAGTGAAATTCGTTAACGGTGAAATGATTAGGCCGTTGCCGTTGCAAAGATGCCGGAGCTTTAGCTGCGTCACACGGTTCCTTCTCCCCCCGGATACCAGCTAGTGTGCCTATTATTCCACAGTGAAGAGACTAGCAGATCGGATCCCCTGATTTTTACATTCCTTGATCGGGAATCTGGGCATTGCAGTGTTGTCGCAAAAGCGTAGAATTGAGGCATCTCGTTGGCCAGACATGAATTTTTGGTGCCAGATGCAACCAAATTTATTAAGTGACCAAACTTCGCAGGAGACCATTTTATGAATGCTATTTGTGGACGATCCCGGTAACCAGCTGCCAAATCGCGAGGATAACCGCTTCGCTAAACGTTTACGCCTCCCAAGGATTTCTCGTCTACTACTGTCGATAGGTAGCCAACGTTGGTGCCCCTCCCCAAATAAGGACTTGGTGACAACTGTGGGTCCGACTTCTTGTCGCTGAAGTATAGCTATAAGACCGCGCCTTTCAACTCTCCTACATGCGGGAAACAAGCAACCTTGGATGAGACACTACAATTAGAGCATCTCAAGGTGTTGTATTAAACACGCCAAAGAACATTCTATACCGTTCTACTCCGCTACGTTCTTACTCCCTATGTATCCAAACTGCCTCTAAGTTTCCTCTACAACTTCACCTGTCGCTCCCGTCCGAAGCATAAGGAACGGACCCGGTGCCTGCTTTTGGTGACAAAATCAATGCGGTTTTAGCTTTGGCGATGCCTCATATGAACCTCCCACCTACACATAAGTACCGTGATAGTGGACTAAAGGAGATCTGCTTGCTGAGTTGCCCAAACTCGCAAATTCGGCTTTTTTGGCCACGAGTGTCCACCCCCATTCGCTTTAACACCACGATGCCTAACGTCATGTTTGGTTTCACGCGTATTCGGCTTATGCTAGTCAAGAACGCATGCCCGACCTTGCTTTTTACGATGCATGCGCTGCGACTCGGTGATCGTCGTCCCACTGCCCTTGGCGTTTGAGCACAATGTATGCACGCATATATACATTACTGCATACTACTGTTTTACCGACTGCTAAGGGACAACATTATATACACAACGAACAGATAAAGCACGCGCACCACATGACAGCATGAATTTTTAAATGGTTTTAATAATTTATCCATTTTCGCAAACGAGTAATGGAGTCCTGAGAATAAAAATACCGAAAGAACGAAAAATGTGACAAAAGTTGATCCCTGATGCGCAGTTTGTGAATAACTACGGAGAGGTAAAGCGCACTATTTTTCAGCACGCAAAATCTTTAATTTTGGATTTCTTCAAGAATCTCGGGCTTGGGATTCAAGAAGCTGAGACCCTCGGGTGTATTTCGGTGAAATTGTTCAGCGTAACGACCAAAATCAGCGACGTAAATGGTCTACAAATTTAAGTGGAAAATTAAAATAAACCTACTATGCCAATAGAGATCGCGAACGTAGCTAGGCCGTAGTACATATAGCGAGTATACTCCTTATTAATATTTTCATAGTGCTCCTGCCATGACCCTTCCGGTTTGGTTAAATCGTCGTAAGAAACAGTAGGATATCGAATTGGTTTAACATGAGATTGGGCACTTTGGGCAACATAAACACGAGTCAAAGCTAAAAAAATTACATTACAAATGGCAGAAACCTCGTCTGAGCAGCCCACAGGACGACCTAGCCAAAATGGACGCCATGAAGGAGACTGTAGAAAGAGGCTAAACTTTACTTCCCATTAATTCAAGGTCGCCCCTTAAAATAAAGGAATTAGATTGCCAATAGTAGAGAATATACGAGTTCCAGGAAGCAGTTCAGAAGAAGAAAGTGCGATCACTGGAACTAGAGTTTTATTTGCCTGACGTTTTGAATCTGTCGTCTTTCGTGCTGAAATTCTTTGCGTCTCGTCAACCCTGTGTATACGGAGGTCTGTACGAACCACATTTCGGTAAAACATTTTTGTCGAGACATCTGTGCCAGAATCCGATCTGCGCATGAGTAGACGACTCTATAAGGGCAAATATTGCCAACCTTCGAGCCGATCGGAGCGCATCGCGCCCAAAGAGATGCCAATAGAAGTGAATGCGTGAGTTTCAGGAAGCGCTCCGATTGGGAATCCGAAACGTCAGACAAATAAAACTCTGAGAAGAAGAGGAATTTTCGAACACTGAAATAATCATTTTATTAGCCTGAGCTATCGGGCTCCTGCAGGAAACCATCGTCAGAGTAGGGAAAAGTAGCAACAAAAAACAAGTAATATTCTATAGGAAAAAAAAGTCAATCATAAGTCATAGGGAAGGGGGGGAGGGAGGGAGGGCCAGGACCGTCAGTGCCGTGAGTCTGGAGATGCCTGCGCAGGGCAACATATGAAGGCGCCAACTCGATGCATCGGTTAACTGAGTTGTCATCCGACGTCCAGGCTTCAATAAGTTCTCGGCCTGTCTTCCTGCTTGCTTGGGCAATTATCCTCGCAGCTGCGAAGTTGAACTCGTGACCCGTC